AGACTAGGGCTGCCCGCACTGCGCCATGCGCAGTGCCCTAGTGCCTGTACATTTAATGGCCCAATTAAGGTAATTTAAAAAACAGGACATTTCCTCACTTTCTAAAAAAAACCCGGGACGCCCGGGACAGGACGTGAAATACGGACATGTCCCGGGAAATAAGGACGTTTGGTCACCCTAATCTAAAACCCATCTGAATGGCTTTATTTTCCCCATGCATCCAGCTGCTGCATTCTATCGAGAGAAGCTGCTCACCTACATATTGCAAGATAAAACATTTTAACAGTGGTGCTTGTGTTAGGAAAACCCCCTAAGTCAATGCTTTTTGGACTCACCTTTTTCATGTAACTAAATCTTAATGTCTACCTGCTTTTATGCATCTAGAGCATTAAGTTATTTTTTTTACAATGCCTTCCTTTTAGATATTTGTACAAGATACCAAGATTGGTGGAGACAGCACAACTCGTAGCTGTCCGGTCAAAATATTCCCCCCCCCCAACTGTGGATCTCTGCAACTCCTCCAGAATTACCACAAGCCTCTTGTGTGCTTCTGCAATTGATGCTCTCTTTATAGATTTAGGTATTTTTCATGTGATATTGATCCTTTCACCTGTAAACTTTAGGTTTTTGATAAAAAAAAAAGTTCTGTTCCTACATGTATTTGTGAAGTTAAATATATTAGTAACTCCATACTTAAGCAAAAAGCTATGTCAGGAACTAAAGGTGTTTAATGGAGGTTAAAACTAAACTGAATTCTGACTATAAGGAGTAAAAAAAAAATGCCCTCGATTTCGTGATTTTTTATTTGGGTATGTGGTTTGTGATGTAAGACAAAAACATTTTTGCTGATGTATACTGACCTCTAGGAGAAAGAGACTGGAACTGGAGGTGGGATGATTGTACATGAAGACAGACATGAGAACAGCCACTAACAGTACTATCATCATGATGATGCCTGCCAGGAGGCCACCTGATATTGCTTTATTACTCTCCTCTGAGCTCTTAGACTTTCCATCTGTAAAGAGATTGAATAAACATAATCTATGACTTTATTTTGCTTTTATTTCAAGCTTATTTGCTATAATTATAAATAGAACTTATTGTAATTATAGCTAAAATTGAACCATGGTATTTTTAAATAAAAAAAATTGCATCTTTTAATTGTTGAACTTCAGTATACCCAGTAATCATCCAGATAAAAAAAAAATACATTTATTTTTGTCTTTGGGGATCCATCAATAATGTGGCTCCAGCAACAATAAGAATCTCACTGGATGAAATTAATATGTGCTCTATTGCACAAAGAGGTTATATAACAAACACCAAGTGCAGAGAAATACCATAAAAAAGCTTCAAAATGTTAGGAAGCCTCTTGAACACAACTGTTATGACTAAATAATCCTCTGGGAAAGACCAATAAGGGTAGTCATCATGCCTTCACAACAGAAGAGTTTATTTCTTAATCATCCGTCATCTTGGGAACTTTAGAACATAGGGGTCTCTTTTATCTCCATTTCTTACTTATCAGAAGCATGCATTTCTACAGTCATTTTGAAACCATTGACTGCCCTGATAGCTGCAATAAACACAACTAGGATCTCTTCTAAAATTCAGAAAAATGGTTTGAATAGTTGTGTAAAAACAGTTTTACTGTGGGTGAGATTTCAAAGTTTACCATCTGCAGATGTCATGGCTGATCTCTGTGCACTTGATTTTTCTTCACTGCCAGTTCTGCTGTATGATAAAAGCTTGTTATTGGTGGATGTCTTGCTGAAAGGGATGCTGTCATGTTTAAGATCCTCTGCTGCTTTGAAGTGGATTTAGAAGAAAATGACAAATGCTTTGTGTTGCATGATGTTCCATTCTTCCAGCCTCTTTAATAAACACAACGACGGTGCAGTTAAACTGAGGAACAATCAATGAAAAGATCAGAGACAAACATTTTCTGGTGTTTATAGAAAGGGAAAAAATGAAGAACCACCTCTGGGCAGCGGTGTTCAACCCATTCCTGCCAATTTCTATCAAAGCCGCTGGTGGTTCTAAAAAGAAGGAAGCAGTAGTTATTACTTTTATGTGGCTGCAAACCAGAACCAATACATTCTGGTTCTTAAAGCAATTCACAGACATATAATATCACTGCAGGAGTTTAAAATGATTATTTACACTCTTGGGGAGTGACATAGGAGGTAGAGCAGGTCAAGTTATTTTCTCAAAACACATTTTTATCGATATTTGTCACTTCATTTTATAAAACTCATCTGCCTCTATGCAATAAGCAAGGAATTGAAACAGAATTTCCCCTCTCAAAGAAAAACCTGAAGAACCACATGATACTGTAGGATTTACAAGCCTACGACTGAACTGGAATAACCTTTGATTTTTTTGTTTAAGGAGCCATATTTAGACTATTTTTGACAGAGAAAAGATAATGGAGACTTTCCAGGTGAATGCAACGAGCCCTGACTCTAAGCCCCCCTGAGAAAAATGTGTGGGGTTTGCTTCCTATCCAAGGAAGTGGGCTTACTCACAATTTTGCCACAATAATTGGAATGGGTTTAAAATATTGCCATTGAGCAAGTATGGTCAAAGATCTCAGTTTCCAATAGCCAGGAAACTACCTAGTACTTTATCTAACTGAGAACCTTTAGGTGGTTTGCATAAACTAGAATCTTTCTAAAAAAAATAAATAAAAAAAAACGTTTAAGAAATGTTAATCATTCAGATTTAAAAAATCCATTTGCTTTTACTTCATTTACACAGATATTTCCTTAAAATTTTTTTTTCATTTTCTGAGGATCTTGCAGTACATGTCTACTTTTTGATCTATAGAGAGAGAATAATCATAAATATATTGCCACACTTTCTTTTTTCAACTCTCTGAATATTTTCATATGGTTTACCCCTGTAGCCCACTCTACCAGCTATCTATCTATCTATCTATATATATATATACATATATATAGTATAAATCCCGGTTATGGAGGGAAGCCTATACACCACTAAAACAGCTAAGTCTGTTTTTAAGGTTAGCTCTCTCTGAAGGAAGCAGCGGTAAAGACAGTTTTTTTCCTTTTTGCTTCTGCAAAGTTTAAGATTAAATAATATAGTGTTGCCATGTATTGTCAACCATAACATGCAAATAAAAAACTAACATGTTTTATAAATAAAGAACCCATGCCTTTTTCAACTTTCTTTTGTGTGTGTGTTGAAAGCAACAAATTAAAAGGTTCAACTAATAAAAAGTACATACAAGTATTGGGCACTTCGTGACAGCAAAAAGGGAAAGAATGAAATGGTTCATAGATAACTCATAAAATCAGAATAAAATGTACAGCCATATCACACAGAGGTGCTATTTAAATGTTACTTACCTAGACACTGTTTAAAACTTGTTTGGATCTCCTGAATAAGAATCAGACTTCTAATTAGATGAAAGGCTTTAATCTTAGACCTCTCTCTAGATGTTGTTGAGGTGTATTTGTGTTGATGTATTTATTTAGTTTTAACTTTAACTTAAAAACATTGATGAACCCTTACTTCCGAACTCAAAATGACGCTGGATGAAAATATCTCACAAAGATCCTTAAAGCCTCTACCCATCAACTTAACCCTCAGGAGACACTGCATGTTTGACTGATGTCCTGCATCCACACACAATTCAAAGGGCTTAATGACCTCAGCATGCAATCTCTAGAATCCGGGTGTTTGAAACAGACACCAGACCTCAATGACCACAACCGAGTAAGTCTGAGAAGTTTCTCCACTTCTACATACAGCACCTGATTCAGATTTAGGTTCACCATAGCCTGTTAACCTGCAATCAATTGATGTGTGTGAAAATTTGGAAACATCTAGAACAGGGGTGCTCAAGTCCAGTCAAGAGCTACTATCCTGCAAATTTTTGATGCACCAGTTACAGGGTGGTAGCTCTTGAGGACTGGACTTGAGCATTCCTGATCTACAAACAGGGCAGTGTGCCTGAAAGACTGCTGTGCCTCTTGGTAGAAAGGAACACTAAAATACTAACCCCAACAGTTCAATTCAAAAAGTAAATATTACAGACTGATGGCAGCAGTATTTTTTGATAATCATGGCTTCAAGCCCAGAAAACAAACTTTAGATTCTCATGAGAACACATATTTAATTCTACAATACAAACTGGGTTTACCTTTCTAACCCGCAGTAGTTACACGTTTCTATAATATTCTACTTCGAGTTAAAAGTAATGCTACCTGAAAAAAAACACATGACAATGCATTGTACAGTACTCTGGTTTTATTCAGAACAAATCGATTACACTGAAGAGGAAAAACTGCATTGCAAAACAAGTTTTTAATTGTGACACAACACAAGGACACTTTGAATTGATTTTAAAGTAAAAAAAAAAAAAAAAGGAACCAATCTAAACTACTAGCTTTTCAGGACGGTTTACTTATTGTGTTTTAAAGTAGGAAATATATGGTGAAAGATATCCAAGGAAATCACATTTTTAACTTGGGGTGGTTACATCACTAACAAATGCACTACTTTAAAACACTGGGGAAAAAATGTAAAATTTAACAGCTTTGCCACAAAGGCCATTGTGTTCAATAACACTTGTATTTTCTTGATTTGCCTTCAATAGATCTAATTTAGGAATCAAATTCACTTACAAAGGAAAAAAAATCGATCAGCTAAAAATTCTGGTATTTGAAAACTGTCCAAGTAATGCAATTTAAAACCATTTGGTTTTAAACATGATTTGGTCGATTCAATCATATTTGGTGAATTAAAATAACATTTTTGATAGATGTGGAACAAGAAAGACCCCAAATTAATAGTCAAGGATAAGTTTCAGTGAACAGAAGAAAAAAAGCTCAGCAACTCAGGAGCTCCACTTCAAAGATGAGGGTAGAGTTTGCAGGAATGATGGGTGGATATCCTCGGCTGCCATAGGCGTAATCAGGAGAGCAGGTCAGCCTTGCCACTTCGCCGACAGACATCTGTGGAGGTCGAGATGAGAGAATGGAAAATCTTAGTAATGTTGGATCAGTGTTATGCAGGACGAAGGGGAAACCACTGCCAAATGGAAGGCAGAAGCTCCTTATCGATGGGAGGATTGTGGTAAAACCCAGTCAAAGATGTTACCAGACCTCCGGTGAACACTTAACACTGTCTGAAGGGAATTTTCTCATTTTCTCTTAAACATCAAACAATATTGTTTAAAACATGTAAAAGGTCTTCCAGCCATTGAGAACTTCATGATGGTTACATTTTTTGAGTGTAGCTAAAAGGGCAGCACTGTGACCCAGCTTTTCCCATGTATCACAAGCTGTTGCCGTAGTAACTTGGGAAAGTTCTTCACCAAGGGTGTTGGCCAGGGTGGGTAACTTGTTTGCTCCAGGGTTAGTTGTCCTGCAACCTTTAAGATGTGTCCTCGGTCCAAAACGCCCAAATAAAGTAAAATAATTAACAGGACTCTGGAGAAATTGACTCCATTCCAATACTCACACTAAAACCTGAAGTGTGCATATGACTGAAGAGCACTTGTGGGTTTGAGTGTGCAGGTTACAAATATGCTAGACCTGGTGAATTGGGAGAATGCTGGCATCCCACCTTGTAATGGAGACATTGAAAATGAGTTGATCCAGTCCCTGTTTTGGCAAATTTACTGCTAAAAAAATATTACAACACAAAATGTTTTTGAATAAAAACATTTACAGTAAAATCATTTTAATAATTATACCTGAAAACAGACCTTTTTTTTTCCAGCACAGGCAAATTAAGCATACGTCTACAAACCCTAATTTATGAAATAGACATTATAAAAAGTAACAAAAATACATAGGGGAGGAGAGGATACAAAAACAGACACTAGACTGAAAGAGAACATCTATGCTGGGATAATTCAAACTGGATCCTAATGTTTAGAGAAAGAAAATGAAAAGGCTATTAAGAAAAAAGTATTCAAACATTTCATAAAATAATTTCCTTATAGACTTATGTTTTATCATATTCATAGGATAATCATCTAACAATCATTTACAAATAGTTTAAGGTTTGTCTACTTTCCATTAACAGCAGACATCCCCAAAGCTGTGCTGGAGCAGGGAAACCCCCAAAACCTGCGGGATGGCGGCCGCTGAGGACCGACTTTGGGGATGCCTGGTTTACAGCAATGAGTTATTTGAAAATCAAAAGGGCTGACTTATGAGTATTAATGTAGACTCTATATGCTAATTAAAAATTTTAAATCAATTGTGATTACCAATTTCGTAAGACATGGCCATAATACTTTTAAAGACATAGAAAATAAAGGAATTTCTTTCCTTTTTAATTTACTTTAAAAATGTATTAACATCTATTTGGCTGGTTTGGCATTTTAATTTGACCACTGCAGAAATTGCCCAGTGAATTAATTAAGGGTATTATTGAGGGTCAATCTTACTAAATGTTGTGTATATCTTTCCATACAAGCTCCTTGTCTAAAATAATTGAATAGAGAAGCTTTTACTGACAGATTAATTATTGAACAGTACATTGATCATCAAGTATTATCAAACATTTCTATTCCATTTTGGAAGGCCAGGAAAATATGATGAATCACATCGATTAAGAGATCATGATCTTTTTCATTTAATGGCTATGCTATGTCTTTGCATACTTTTTTATATTGTGATTCACTTACTTTAAGGTCATCTTTATCTTGGTTAAATAATCTAAAATTACCAATTACATCAAATAAATAATTAATAGAGATTTTCCCCATACCCACCAATGTTTAAAGAAAGTTGACCATGTACTACAAATTATACCCTGGATCTTCGATAAAACTGAATCTTGTTGAGAAGGATTATTAATTGAATATCAGTTTGGTGAAGAAACTGTATCTATGACCTGGGGATAATTTTCAAGAAGTTTACATGTTTATCAAAATGCAGTGGCAAAGCACAGGAGCTGGATCACCACAATATTTCCACTTTTGCATAAAATGTCACATGCAACAATGAATAGTGGGCAATACACTTCAAAGTCTGCATAGATGTGTACCTGGCTAAAGTGTTGATCCAGGGTGCATGGGGGTGGAGCAAAAGACCACTATGGAAGATTGGGACCCACTACGAACCAAACCATCAGCAGGAATGGGAATTTGAATTACAGAAGCACAGGTGTGCAGGTATTTGGTCATAATCTGCATACTGAGGTGGTAATATAGGCATTCGATTGGGGTGTGCTGGATTTGAGGACCGCTCTATATGTTGCATAATACCAGCCCTAGAGGTACCCAACCATGGTGTGGCTGCAGTGCATTCCAGAGCACACACACCCAGTGTTTCAGAGCAGAGGAGTTTTCCCCCCTCGAACCTTGCGTTCCAATCTTATATACGTAGCAAAATTTTGATCATTTAAATTTGGCTGGGTTATTAATTAAATTAAAAATATCAGAATGCATTAACTGCTTCAAGCTTATATGACCCAAATCCAATCTTTTTTTCAATGTGCATTTAAAAATCCTCAAACCCAGAGGTAATAAGATCATATTGTAAGATAATCATAAATTTAGTTCCACAAACAAAAACAACAGAATCAGAGAGAACATTACATTTATGACAAAGAACCCATCTTCTGTGATTGACAGCAGCTTCTTATTTAAAAAGGGGGTAGCTACACTGGGGAACAAAGCTTGCAAATTTGAATTTATAGAGTTTTTTTTTTTTTTTGCATTTCTTTTTCTTCATACCTGAGCAACACCTTCATCCCATCCACGGATGACTTCACCTGCTCCCAGTTTGAAACTAAAGGGCTCGCCCCGGTCCCTGGAGGAGTCAAATTTCTTCCCGTTTTCCAGCGTGCCTGTTTGGGGAAAAACATATATAGGACACGCCTACATTAAACACTGAGCTGCTGTCAGGCAACGGTTAGCATTTTTACATCTTCAGCCTTAGCAGATGGGGAAATAAATTAGTCCTTCTCCCCCTTAATTACATTTAACTGACCGAAATTGTGTTTAATGTTTTACATTTTTCTATGATGGGTTAATTTCCAATGTCCGTGGGTGTGCTTTATTCTTCTGTCCATTGCCAGAAGGAGCAGGGCCATCCGCCCCCACCCTCCCTGCTAAGCTAAGCTAAGCTAAGCTAGCTGGAACGTTAGCCTCAGTTCTTGTCTTTTAACACCTTGCGAAGGTTTCCCATTGGTGAAGAACTGAAACTCGATTTGAACATCGTCGGTTTAACCGGGTACGGTCATTCATCAGATTAAAAGCGAGCGAGCTTTTCTTTTTATGTATTTGAGCAGCGAGAAATGAAACAATGCTCACCGACGTAGTGCACGTTGACCATCCGTCCTTTCACTGGAAAAGTCTTTCCTGAAAACAGAAGCCTGAGCGTTATTCCAATGCAATAAAATGCTGGATGAAATGTAAGGAATTTGCTAAAAAAATATTTACCGTCTCCAGGTCTAAGGGTGTTTACTTGAACTCCCATTGTTATTTAGATGCAGTTGGCCCTCTTGCAGGAAATTGGCGTGTCCGTGCGCACAACGGTAGTGAGCAGGAGAAGAGCTCGCCCCAGTCTTCTTTTTCTTCTTTAAAATCTTTTCGGCGGTTGGCAAACAGCAGATTGATGCATTTCCGCCATCTACTGGTGTGGACCGGAATGACCCATCTTCTTCTTTGTTAAATTGGCGAACTACAAACAGCTTATAGGTGCATACCGCCACCTACTGTACACGAGTGTGTAGCTCTATAGTTCCACTTACTATATTCTATTTTTTATTTTTGTGTTATGTTAAAATAAAAACACTGCTTTATTAATAACCAAATTTCCTCCCTATCTCCATCAGTCCCTAAAATTCCTTCAATATTCCATTCTCTCCCTTTTTCCATAATTACTTTCCTCATCCTCTCTCATTCAGTTGCATATTTAATGCAATCCATCAAAACATGATCCACATTTTCTTTTCTTTCACAATCCTTACATAAATCATTATTTCTCTTCCTTAGTAAAGACAAAATTTCATTCAAGTAGGTATATCTGGTTCTTAATCTAGAATAAATGATCTCTTCCCTTCTGTTTCTTTCTCCATAATTTTTAACAATTACAGATTTTTTTAACCCTATATAATCTTCTTCCTTTCTCATCTTCATCCCATATTTGTTGCCATAATTTAATTTTATTTATTTATTTTTTAATTATTGATTTACCTAATTCTGCTTTCCTAAAGCCTTTTTAGCTATCTTGTCTGCTATTTCATTTACTCTCACCCCATTGTGTGCTGGAACCCAACAGAACTGAACATCTATTCCATAGCTAAATAACCTAAACAAACTCTTATAAATTTCTAGTACAAAGTCTTTCCTATTATTTCATCCTGAATGAATGCTTTCTATTGCAGCTTTAGAATCTGTGCAAATCACCTGGAATGACTCTCAGGAACTAAATTCTATTATACAAATGTGTTATTTTTAGATATCGAAATATTATCCTGTAAATGCAACTGTCTGAATGACTTCTGAATAATTAAATAAATCTAATTTAACTTTTACTTTAAATTTTGAATTAATCGCTGTCTCTCCTCATCATATTTATTACAGTACAACATTACGTGTTCAACTGTTCCATTTAACCAATATTTTATTGCTAATTGTGTTTTTCTTATATATATATATATATATATATATATCAAGTGTTCCATGTTATTTTTTTTCCATCAAACCATATCCCTATGAAACTTTATACTTTTTACTTGTTCTAATTCTTGTTTATATGGCTTTAATTTTATACCCTCTCCTATTTTCCTTTGTAAATACCATAACTTTAGTTTTTTTTTTTTTAACTAAGAACAACTGTGAATTTCTTAATTTTCCAATTAAAAAAAAAATGCACATGGAAGAGCATGCACTGGCCCATTTCACCTGGTGCACATCATGTTTAAAATGTGCTGCTCTCATAGCACATAAAAGCAAACTCAGTTAACTGACCATTCGGACAGATGATCACTGCTTTTTGCCCCGTTGGTCACTTAACTCCTCCTTCACTGCACAGTTCCTGTGCCATCTTTGCTATTAGTCGCTGCTGTCAGATATTGACAGCCTGTGGGGAAAGCGGGCCGCCATGACAGCACATCCCATAGTGCTTTGCGAGGAGAGCTCCCAGTGCAAAGCATTTTGAGATATATCTGCCTCTTCTGAGGCCTTTTTTTTCTTCTCATACACTTTGTAGGTACTTTTTCTCTTACGACCCCAGGCCATTTTCAAAGAACTGCAGTGATAAAGGTGAGCTTCAATGACTGTCTGAAACCGTAGAACACCACACATATGTGGCTGAAAGTGTGCATGATACAAACAGAAGAAACAGATAGCTAAGGGGGCAAGCACATAGGACAGCCTTATGTAAGCATATCTCCAGAATGACTGACAATTAGGAGGACCACTTATTTAGATGATGAACCCAAATATAAAAGATCAGCCTCTATACCTCTTAATCATCAACGATGTTCCATTTTCTCTATTCTTACTATATAATCTTGCATTTTTTTTAACAATAAATTCAACTTTACAACCTCTTTTCCATTCCGCTGGAAATTTGATTGATCTTGCGACGTTATTGCTGTCATTTACAGTTTAAATCAGAGACAGAAAGCATATTTTATAGCTATAATTTAGAATTTGCTGCATACACATATACATCTAAATTAGACATGGACAAACAAACAAAATTGATCCTCACTCTTATTCTAAAACAGCAGCATATACGCCTGGCTATAGATAATGAGGGATATATGTGGACTCCAAATGACTTCCATTGATTTTTTTGTAATCTTGAACCCTCTTCTATGCCCTAACCCTGACAATAACCCTATACCTTACCATTACCAGTGTGAGTTGTGTTTAGTTTCACTCAAATCAGAAACTAAAACCAAGTCGCATCTTGCCCTAAACCTAATTGGAAAAACAGCTCCTATGGACCAGCAATATGTCATCACAACAACTGGTGCAAAAATTGGGAAAAATGACCCTCATTCTGATACCTATCTCTGCCAGTCTATGGGCGAGAGGCGGGGTACACCCTGGACAGGTCACCAGTCTATCGCACGGAAACACACAACCATGCACACACACACTCATACCCAAGAAAATTTTAGAGAATGATTTTAGACTGTGGGAGCAAGCCGGGGTACCCAGAGAGAACCCATGCATGCACAGAGAGAACATGCAAACTCCACGCAGAGAGCCCCTGGGCCAGGAGTCAAACCCAGAACCTTCTTCCCAGAAGTCAAGAGCGCTACCCACTGCACCACTGTGAAGCCCATCTACNATATCAGCCCCACCAAAAATATTTTTCACCAGCCGCCACTGCCCATAGTGCTTTGCGAGGAGAGCTCCCAGTGCAAAGCATTTTGAGATATATCTGCCTCTTTTGAGGCCTTTATTTTCTTATTTTTCTTTATTTTCTATTTTTTTTTTTTCTTTCTACACTTTGTAGGTACTTTTTCTCTTACGACCCCAGGCCATTTTCAAAGAACATCAGTGATAAAGGTGAGCTTCAATGACTGTCTGAAACCGTAAAACACCACACATATGCGGCTTAAAGTGTGCATGCGCAGAAACAGATAGCTAATGGGGCAAGCACATAGGACAGCCTTATGTAAGCATATCTCCAGAATGACTGACAATTAGGGGGACCAATTATTTAGATAATCCAACCAGAAATAAAAGATCATCCTCTATATCTCTTAATCATTCAATGTTCAATTTTCTCTATTCTAACTATATAATCTTGTATTTTTTTAACAATAAATTCAACTTTACAACCACTTTTCCATTCAGCTGGAAATTTGATTGATCTTTCGATGTTATTGCTGCCATTTACAGTTAAAATCAGAGACAGAAAGCATATTTTATAGCTATAATTTAGAATTTGCTGCATACACATATACATTTAAATTAGACACGGACAAATACAAACAAAATTGATCCTCACTCTTATTCTAACACAGCAGCATATACGCCTGGCTATAGATAATGAGGGACATATGTGGACTCCAAATGACTTCCATTGATTTTCAGTAATCTTGAACCCTCTTCCAGACATGGGCAATGTGGAGTCAACAAGTCATCTCCATGTCATGTATTGGTTCTACCCAGCCAATTAACCAGGTGAGTCCAATATGCACAGGTTAATTCACGGTGAAGATTGGACTCACCTGCTTCAGTGGCTGGGTAGAACCAATACATGACATGGAGATGACCTGTTGACTCCACATTGCCCATGTCTGCCCTTTTCTATGCCCTAACCCTGACAATAACCCTATACCTTACCATTACCAGTGTGAATTGTGTTTAGTTTCACTCTAATCAGAAACTAAAACCAAGTCGCATCTTGCCCTAAACCTAATTGGAAAAACAGGTCCTAGGGACCAGCAAAATGTCCTCACAACAACTGGTGCACAAATTGGAAAAATCACCCTCATTCTGATACCTATCTCTGCCAGTCTATGGGCGAGAGGCGGGGTACACCCTGGACAGGTCACCAGTCTATCGCAC